ATATTGACGTTTCATTATACATAACGTTGAAATTATATACGCATACAATTTAGGTAAAGTTGAGATTTCTTATACTCAAAAAATGTATACACATATTTAATATGAATGGAATTCATAAAATATCATTTTGTTGCTTGTAAAATTCTGCTCTAATTTATTATTATTTTATATAGACTATGATGTTAACTTAATCGAGAAAAACGGAACGCATTCGGCAGTGAAAGAATATCTACGATAGATATAATATCATTGGAATATCGAAAATCCACGAGAATAGCATTTTTTACCATCAGTAGATATTTTCAATAGATATCCCTACTTTCGATATTATCTCGAAGCCGATATAATATCTACGCCGCGAGAATTGGGCCCCAGAGCCCTTATTACCAAGTGCTAGTGAACCTGTGCCACAACATCCTGAGAGGATCATACTGCCAAATTATTCAAGAACATCTGATACACATTCACGCTGCATATTTACACAATAAACATGTGATATACAAATAAATACAATAAACAATATGATATAATTATTTGAAAAATAGTCAATAAATAAGAAGCAAAACTACAGTTTTTATTTTATTCATATTCCTACCTTACCAAGTTTTTCCTAATAGTTATTCTTTAAAATCGCACCGAATAAAATGAGTTAGTTGTAATATTAATTCACTTCATACTGAGTTCATACTAAATTCATAGGTTGACCTATGTTTCATTGAATATTAAACATAACCTCAAAAAATTTTTAGTTTTCCTAATAATTTAAGTTCTCAGAAGTGTCCGTCAATAATCTTTGTTTTTACAGTCATTAACTTACGATTTTGAACCTAGAAAATAATATTTCATGATTGTTGGTTCTTAGGCTAACTATGTATGGACGCTGAACAATGTCCTTTAAAACAAACTCATTATACGTGGTAAGTACCAACTTAGTAAATCTACTTCACAAACCGAATTCTTAATAGGTCTAAATGAAGAACATTACAAAATTACATTTTAATTACTTACAAACATTAACGTAATAATAACATTGAAACTAAAAAAAAACTTGCTACCGCGGCCCTGATGGCCATGTCGAATTCTTTTTAGCCTTTCTTAAGGGCGGTGCGGGTTCGAGTCCCGTCTGCTGCCTGATCCGCGTGGATTTTTTCCAATTTTTTCCAATTTCTTTAGATTAAAACATCGAGCAGTAGTTTAAAAAATGAAAAGTATAATTATTATTTTCAAAAACATCTTAGAGTGGATCACGACATCATGCACTGTCAATTGTACTTAACTTTTTATATTTCGTACAGTTTTTCTTTCTTTACATTACATCAAAGAAAACAATTCATCAATGGTTTATTATTTAGCCTTAAGAAGGATCAGAAACGTCTAAAACATGTAAAATTTTAATTAACTTAGCCAGTTGTTATATTAAATTTGCTAATTGAGTCCTTAAAACACCCTTGTCCAAAAATAAACAGAACTGTCAAGGGTTTATTTAGTTAACTTTTAATAACATTATAGTAACTAATAGGGTACGATTTAAGAGATTCCTCATAAAATAATTTTGATGAAAATAATATTTTTTTTACCGAACACAACTTTTTTCTGCTACAAGCATTTCTATTAATACCAATGAAGTTTCTGTCAATTTCATAGTAGATGTTTTTTTATTTATGTTGATTTATTTTTTATAGAACATCAATATACAATTTGTATCTTTTAAAAAAATATTTGCTCATAAACGTCTCCAGATGGCCCCGTTTTTTTATTAATGTAAGGTACGTATGCTCATATGAAAACACAGTGATTACATTTGGGCATCTGGAGTCGAGTTTCCAAATATTTATAATTTTACAGGGCTGTGCATAGGTGATATATTATTTTAACGCGAGAAAATGTAGCCATAATACTCAGGAAGAATGAAACATTCTAATGCTGAAAGAAATGTTGATTAAGTGTCGCCGCACACGGGCCACACGCCACAGCCATAAACGCCACCACGAGAAGCTAGAAGTGGCTACTAAAGTGTAGAGAGGGGTAGGGAATCGCGCGAGTAAAGTGTGGCAGCGTTTTGTATCGGCGCATTAAGTGGCCGGTGCGGGCCACAAGAAGCGAGCAACGACGATTTATAGCGTGTGACGTCCACCGGCGTACCGTGTGTGGCGAGTCCATTTAACTGTAACTCTATGGTAATCTTACCAACAGACGAGAAAGAGGTTCAGCAATTAATCATAGGCCTAAAAGACCACTGCGCGGTAGGCATGGATGAGATCTCGAGTAGAATAATTAAAAGATATATGGTTCAACTCAGCGCTCCTATCACTCATATATGCAACCTTGCATTTTCTTCCGGTACATTTCCCCAGGCATTCAAGGCAGCACTCATAAAGCCAATCCACAAAGGCGGCGATAAGCAAAGTCTTAACAATTATAGACCGATATCAATCCTGCCTTGTTTGTCTAAGATCCTGGAGCGCCTGTTAAACAACCGTTTGACTGATTTCCTCGAGAGCAACAAACTTTTATCTGATGCACAGTTCGGTTTTCGGTCTGGCAGGTCAACGGCAGATGCTGTCCATGAACTAACCAACTTAATCGTAACAAACACAGACCAAAACAAAAAGTGCATTACGGTGTTCCTGGACTTGGCCAAAGCCTTTGACACCGTTTCCGTACCCATCCTCTTGGCAAAATTATGTAAGCTCGGTATAAGAGGCCTCCCCTTAAAGCTCTTTGAATCTTACCTAAGCGAAAGAATTCAAAAAGTTAAAATTGGCAATATTCTTAGTGACGAACTCATAGTTCACTACGGCGTCCCACAGGGGAGCATAGTCTCTCCTTCGCTCTTTCTGGCCTTTATTAATGACCTGTGCCAACTAAATCTTTATGGAGGTAGAATAATTACCTTCGCTGATGACACGGCACTATTTTTTAGTGGCAAGAGCTGGAGTGAGGTCTTTTATAACACCCAAAAAGGATTTAATGAGGTGAGTAAATGGCTCCACGAGAACGCTAAATGTCAACAAAACCAAGTACATGACCTTTGCACATAGGAAAAATCTTATTCCACCCATTACCTTCCAAATATTAGCACACACTCCCTCTTGCAAAAATGTAACGGCTTCCGAATGCACCTGCCCTCAACTAGGCAGAACAGAGACAATAAAATATCTAGGGGTCACAATGGATCAAACTCTCAGTTTTAAGCCTCATATTTCAACTCTTGTTTCTAGGTTGCGCAAACTTATATTTGTATTCAGTACTCTAAGACACGTAGTTAATAGACAAACAATAAGAATGGTGTATTTTGCCTTATGTCAATCACTGATCGACTATTGTATCACTTCTTGGGGTGGAGCAACCAAATCTCAACTCATTGAAGTTGAAAAAGCTCAAAGAGCAGTACTCAAAAGTGGCTTTGGTCTTCCCTATAGATTCCCTACAGTTAACTTATACAAACAATGGGACTTACTAACGGTACGACAAACTTTTATATTACAAACAGTTCTTAAAAAACACACCGAAACTAATTACGATCCTGATTCAATTAAAGACAAGCGCAGGAAAAGCAAAGTCTGCCAACCCGAAAACTTCCAGACCAGACTTCCCCATAAATTTTATTGCTTCCTAGGAACATTTTTGTATAGTAAAATTAATAAGTTTCTTTCAATTTATCCATTAAATAAAAGTACTTGTAAGGAACACGTCAGTAACTGGCTGAGAACCTTAAACTATGTAGATACCGAAAAATTGCTGACTTTCGATATTTAATTATTTATTTATCATTATTTTAAAGGTTTAGTGTTTTTGGTCACTTTTTATTGCCTATTTACCTGATAGAATGTAAGCCTGTTGGCTGCTCTACTCGTAATTGTGCTTGATGCGATGGTCGTGAGTGTTAAACCTAAACTATTAACTTCTTCAGAAATGAAACGAAAATCTATACACATATTATAACATGAATTGTTCAGTCTTTTCCTAACTCACAAACTGCTATTTTAATTTTATGGTCGATAATGGTGATGGCTGCCTTCTGGATTTGGGATTCTTTGTTTGGTTTCTCAAAGGTATAATAAATATTTTTATGTATTACGTTTAATATACTATTGCACCTTCTAATGACTTTGTCAATGCAGTCTGCAGTATAATTAAAGCACTTCTTAGATGACATGTAATTTTTTTCTCTCTGACAATGTATTTTTCAAATTTGGAGTAGGTATTCAATTTTCCATTAAGATATGCAATACACGTATGGTTTATGTATCATAGTCGGGGCCTGGTGACCTGTTAGTACAGGTAGCTATTCGTAGTTGCCTTTTACGGGCACCAGTCTCCCACATAATAGGTTTATGTGTAATGTATTGATTAAGTTAGTTACCTATTGTACTGTTACACCTTTTGTGAGGAGAAAATAAATGGTATATTATTTAAAATGTATGAAAAGTACAAGAAATATGCCGGTGGCGGCGTTTTGTGGTTGTAGTCTGTGGCCCGTGTGCGGCGACACTAAAGAGTTTGTTCATTGCAAAAATACAAATGTTTCCACTCTTTTTATAATTATACATATGGACGAATTTGTCAGAAATCTATTTTTAAAACTGGAACTTAATAATAAGACTTTCACCAAAGTGACCAAAGGACTAAATATTTGAGTTAAACTTAGATATGTGGCTACTATATTGAGATAAATAATATTACCCAATCAAAAGTAAATGTTGTAAAAATAATTTCAAATATAAATCTAAGAAAAAATCCTTGCGGTCCAGGCAACAGACACGAATCGAATCCGCACCCTCTGCTAACCGGACGGATGCACTTTAGATTTGTAAATCTAGCAGTGAAATGCTTATAATAAGTAATATAAACTGTAAATGTAGGAACTTAGGTAAGAAATCAGAAATCAATATATCTTTATACAAATTGGATGTATAGTACAACACTTTTGAATCGTCCAAACATTTTTTTCCCTACCACTCGTTATTGGACATATTTACGTAACATAGGTAACTTACCGGTCATGAAAATCATTATAATGAATTAAATCTAATCGGTACAGGCCATCTCTAAAAACCGCACTTTGAATATTACCCACAACACTGCACACTATAACACACACAGATCCTAAGTTAAACTTCATGCTTAAACCGTTGGCCTCAGTATATTTTAAACAGGTAAAAAGACTGACTATTTCGATGTCATTGTCTTTAAATGAGGATAAAAAATTGTTCGGCGTCGACTCCGCTCAAAAGTGCAGGTAATACTAAATAGAACCATTCGACATTCAACTTTATCTGTACGTTTAAGGTCCCACCAGCGTTTCTCAAAGTGTCAGCTGAGTAAGCCCCAGAAGGTTAACGAATCTAAGGACCGTTTTGCAGAACGCGGCTCAAGCAGCATTTAAACTCAAATCACACAAAGCTAGTTTTAAGTGTAAATCAATCACTACTTAATTGCTCAACATATTATTACAGGTCGCGTTTTAAGAGCAAATCAGCTGAAGCCAGAATCAAAAATCAGTTTGAACTCCGATCCATTTATCTACGGGCTACGTGTGTTTCCAATTACACTTAGAAAATAAACAACATAGCGGTATGTCAAATTTCTTAAACTCGCATTACAACGTTATCTGGGACTATAATAAGTGTTTTCAATGGTGTCGACATTATGTAAACAAAGATCAAATCTTTGCTTGAGCGAAGATTTTGACGTATATGTCCTTCTGAAATAATCAATACTCAGCTGACATTGATCAAAACTTAATCAATGCTTATGTTTCAACGTTCTAAAACTTAATGTCGTTTTGAAGATTCTTTTAAAACTAGATTTCTTACTGAGAAATGTTCTGCAATACGGGCCCAAGAAAAGATCATGTGGTTTCTAATAGGGTAAGTACAGAAACATACGCACATATTGACGCTATTGATATCTTGTTTTCCATGTGCACAGCATCAAAGAATACTTTGCCAAGGGCTTGAACTTGGCAAAGTATTCTTTGATGCTGTGCTTGAATTTGGCTTGAAATAATTAAAGTTATAATAAAGTTAAACGGGTTTGATTAATCTCATTTGCAAAGCGTGTTTCTATATTGCTACTTCCCTAGGCCATCTTTGGCTGCCCTTGAATAACATTATTAAGAAAACAAATTACATATGGTTTAAAACTAGGTATGTAATTATCTTGGACGTTGGTCTCACAATTCATTTTTTCTTTGTGTTATTCTTCATTATAATTATCTCCCCGGATAATTAAAGGAGATTGCTCAGCTTCCATACATGTTTGGTCTAAAGACCAATAATCATGAAAAATTGTTTCCTAGATTCGAAATTATATATAAATTACTGTAGAAACAAATATTATTGACGGACACCCCTGAGAACTTCTATAAACCATATACACTGAACATATTAAAATAATAAAAAACAAATAAGTTATATAGTAAACTACGGAAATCAAGCCAAGTATCAAAATTATGGATTAAATTCAGGTATATAGAGCATGTAGATTAACAGATAGTTGCCTGTTTTTAAAGTTAATGCATAAGAGTAACTTTTAAAATCAGGTGTCATTTCCGGTTACAATAAGGTACTCTGTGATGATTGTGAATGAGCCACAGATAAGAGAGAATTTTTAAACTCTCGTTAACCAAAGAAAGCTAAGAGATTTAGGTTCTATAGCCATATATTCAGTAGCTTCATTATTTTTGTTATGTTTTTAAGATAACCATATTTTAGATTTTTAGTGTATCACACCTTATAATTTTATTTATTTATTAATTTATAGTCAAGGAACGTAGGCCCATAGATAGATACCTTAAAGTCTAACATATATACAGATTATAATGAGTTTATGGAGGTGTTTGGCGAAAAATGTATGGCAATAGACTTTATGATGTCGCCTACCATCTATAATAATTGTCTGAGCACATTTGCATGTAGTGAAAATGATAATATAGTTGTGGATATTAATACCACAGTGTAATAAAAAAAATGATTTATTTTATCGATCTTTACAAAATAGATTTGTTTTTATGTTATATAAACAACTTCGATCAGTGTTTGGCTGAATGTTACTACACCCATAGCCATTAAAATTTTTCGTATGTTTTCCAAACCGGTAAAATTAAAAGTCCTTTATAAAGTAAATATATTATACAAAGCTGTCCGTTGCAATCTAATGACTGTAAATTAAATTATAAATTACGCCAAGAATTACCGTGTATGTCAATATTTTTTTGTGCATTTAGGCCAATTTGAGCAATCTCCTTTATTGTTATATTTAAAAAAAACAGAACTAAATTACACAATACAAACATTATAGGGAATACAAGAATTATTTTCTGTCATTATAAAAAAAAACATTTTACAATGACATAAATGTTTGAGAGCAACTGGCCAAACAGAATGCCGCACACAAAAAATACAATCGTTAATTCATATTCAAATTTATCGTCTTAAGATTAAAGTTAAAATTATTATGAAGCCACGGGTTTACTTTAAAAATTGCTAGGTACTGGTGTTACAAAGTTATTAATTAGTTTAAATAAGCAGGTGAATATCTTAACTTTGATATTGTTACGTCTAAAGCTAGGAACCTAGTTAATGTAGTTTCAGGAAACCTAAAATAACCTTTTTTCTTAACTGGTTACAATGTTTTTTATTCCATTATCCTAACTGCTTTTCTTAACCAATTATGAAAGTGGATAAAGTATTCCTTTTTGTTAACCATTTGGGAAAAAGTGAATAAAAGTTGTTCTTTCGTAGATGATTAAGAAAAACAGTTAAGCAAATTGACCAAAAAAACAATCCTTACTGTTTAATAGCTATTTGAAAGTTATGTAAACGAATGGATCCGTTATATTCTTTTTTCGTGTTGTTATTTTCATGGAGACAAAGCACGAATTATTGAAATTTCGGAAACTTTACAATAACATTGATTTTATTATTGAGAGAAATACACAAACTTCACTTGCATTGAATTTTTTTTCTTAACATACATGATAACGTAGATAATAATAATTGTATTTTTTTGACTCATTCATATGCCAGGATCGTATGAGTTAGTAACTACCCATTGTTTATTTATTCGTATTCCTCCAGCAATTATATTCATTAGCTTAAGAACCGTAGTCCGAGTGTTCATTCATACGTGACGATTTCCGTGGCCGGTGGTGGGTTTCATGGTGTCGCCGGCTCGAGAGGTCCCGGGTTCGAATCCCGGTGGGGGCAGATGTTTGTATGATCAATACGAGCATTTGTACTCCAGTCATAGATGTTTGATATGTATTTCTATATAAATATTTTATATATATATACTGTATATATATTCTATCCGTTACCCTAGTATACCATAACACAAGCCTTACAGTGCTTACTTTGGGGCTAGGTTAATTGGTGTGTGTTGTTTTTTTTATATTATGTACCTACGTAATTCGCAATGTCGATTTTACACTTTTTATGTTGTATTGTTATTATTTGGCTTAAATATTTTGTCCTGTTTTTATCAATTGATCTTTGTTTCGCTTTGCCTGATTTTTTAATGGAACTAACCGCAGAGGGTGACGGTAGAGACCTGTCTTTTCAACCAACGAAAAAACAGAGGTGGTTCTCGTTCTCATTCGACGCGTATTTTTTTATGTATGATCGATCACGCATTACTTTTTTACAGTGTAGTCGGATTTCGATAATTCATTTTTTATTGGGAAGGGTCTCTGAAATTGGCTCCATATAAATTTGGAAAAAATCCGACCCGACGGGAAAATAGGGGTGATTGTTCACTCACAGATTTTGATGCAGAATTGTATATTACAAAAAATATAGCCACAATTGAGTACCATGAATATCTGGTAGAGCTGAGTTCAATGTGGTTAATCTAGATAGAGACATAGAATACTTTTTATCCGGGAAAAGAGTTAAGTTCCTGAGGGATTTTCAAAAAACTAAAGTTAAGGCGGACGAAGTCGCGGTCGGTCCCTAGTAGTTCTCAATTACCAAGTCTCCCGGTTCTCCCCTAATCACGATTGTCTTTTTATTAATTTTTAATTGGTGCCCAATTGTTTTATTCAAACGACTAGTGGCCTGCCCTCGCTTTGCTTCGGTGTAGAGCTGTAGTGTAGACTATAGTTTTTGTTCAAATGCTTGTATTATGCACAATGACTTTCTTCATAATAATATAAACCTTCCATTCCAAGTAAAAAATTCGTTGCGTAGTTTAGGACCCGTTGTACCGAATGCATTATTGCTCTGCTGTTCCGAATTGAAAAAATCTTTTTGTATTGGACAGTGCATTTATCGAGGACGGCTATAGGATATTACCAGACTACGACCAGTATCAGCGGAGCATCGATGAAATTTTTTGCAAAAACGGGTAAAAATATTCAATTTGTGAGATTCCGTTGCGTGCGCTGGGTAAACGGTTAAAGTTACACAAAAATCATGTATGACGGAATTCTTCCCTTTTAAAAGTTCTGTAAAAATGTCCACGAAAGCCTATGACCATATTTTAAGTTTGAGTTACTATTAATCTTTATGTTTTTTCCAATTAACGCGGATTTAACCGCAGGAGAGCTCTAGTTGTGATATTTTGACATATGGTATTCCGGACTTTTTTTTAGATATTGGTATCCTCTATAAAATTTTACTACAGCACTTCGCTCTATTGTCAATGACTTCCGCAGCGAACGCAATATAAGGTTATTTTTACACACGCTGGGTTACAATATCTAAGTTTTCATACGGAACCCTAACTTTTTTAAAAATACACTATAACCTTTATTAATCAGTGGTAATGTAGCATTCAAATGGTGAAAGAATGTAAAATCGGTCCAGTACTTTTTGAGTCAATTCGTTACAAACATACTTACACACAAATCTCTCCTCTTTATAATATTAATAAGTATAGATTTATGGCATAGGTGACCATAGAATTGACTTTGCAATTCGCGCCTAATCGATTATGATTATTGCATAACATAACAAATGAAATACATATACTGATAACCTATAGCTAACATAGTAAACAGTGTGATCGGGTAATCGATTTCATTACACGTCAGTTTATTAAAAAACACCAATGCATTATATATTTTTTTTATGATTTTTCAATGATAGTAGTTGAATTGTATGTAGGTAAGTATTTATGCAACCGCGTTTTTATTTATTATAAGTCATTAATTTTAGTTAAATAATTATTTACTTCGCGTATATAATTATTTAACTGAATTGGGGACTACCATGAAAAAGAAATATCATAATTGATATTATGGACTTCAGACACAAATACACTGGCC